TATGGCCAACTATTTTAATGAACATGGAAATGGATTGTTTCTGGCCAGTAGACATGAAAGTAAGATTAAGCTTCTCGGTCACTTTTGCAATGGTGAAATATCCACTTACGACAACTCTGACAGATGTGTGTTTGGTATTTGTACTCTGAATATTAAATATCATAGATATGTTTTAAGAAACATCTTCCTATTGCAGGCAAAACAACAGCAGTGGTTGTATTTAATATATGTGAATTTTTCTGACTGCAGATTAATATTTTGCTCTGTTGTCTGGATTATCATGCTGTTTTTTTCCTATTTGCTGATTGATTTAGCTGAGATGTGGTCTGCATTGATTTTTGTTGATCAGATGCCTCTTATGGGTAAAACTGTTTGGTGACTTGCAATCACAATAAGTAGCTATAGTATGTAACTCTCAGATGAAGAACATATTTTCTACTGATATCACATTTTCTTAAAGAAATCTTTCCCTCCTTCCTTCCTCCCTCCCTCCCTCTATATTTTATCTGGGTCCTATTCAGTAGGCATACCGTATTTGGACTGCACAAATCCTGATGCCCAGTAGATGTTAGGAGGAGACAAAGAATAATCTATGATGCCAGCTAGATTTTTGCAGCAGATATGTTACCCCCTATGTTCAGATATCTTTAGTATTAAAAGCTGAAATAAAACAAGAGAAATCTGAGATTGAGACAAAATCCAGTGGTTTCAGATCCTTACAGCTTTATTTTATTCTACTTCACCATAATTAAATTGTGGTGACAATAACTCACATATGATGTGAAGCAGAAGTAACTGCCACTCTTGTCTCATAGCATTATTATTCCTCTATTACTTGGACTAATACAGTTCAAATGAGATCTGAATTAAATATCTAAATTCATTATAGTAGCAGAACTATGAACTCTTTTTCAGCATCACAGTTTCAATTTAGTTCTCTTTCTTTCTTTGGTTTGTCATTTTTTTTTCTAAATCTACTTTTAGTTGCTCTAATGCCGAAGCAGCTAGTTTTGGGCAGGAGGCCTTTCGCCTGAGTTGAATTGAAATGTTTTCCATCCATCCTTCAATCATCAAAAAACTACCAATTTCACTTGACATTTTGCTACCCTCATTGCTGATTCCCATTCTGTCTCTTTTGCTGCTCCTTTCAGAAACTGACAGTTACCTGAGTTCCCTCCAACGTAACGGATGTCAAATTCTAGCACATTTTATACACCATGGGACACCCTTAAAATGGAAGGAGAACAAGGATATGAAAGTGCTACTTTAATGGCTCTTCCTCACAGTCAAGTTAAAATGCTACCAACCAGTTGCTGGCAGAAAAATATAATGGAATAAAATGGGCTACGTGCCCTACCAATCCTTATCGTACCACAGGAACAATGTTGGTAAAGGATTCTTGTTGTTATTGACTGAGTGCAGGGTGCAAGCAAAAAAAATAAGTTGCCAATATCCATCAATCATTCTCCTTAAACTCAAACTAGGGCCAGAGCCAGGGCCAGGGCTCAAGCTGGGGATGAGGGAGTATTAGCTGGTGGCTAAACCAGCAAGCTTGGTCTGTTAAAATTGGCTCTGGCTTTCTTGAGTACTTTATTTGGTTGCATTCAAAATTTGAATTCTTCTTGGATAGAGTTTTAGTGCTATTTCAGAAGAGCACTAAACCTGTGTTGAAAAGCAAACAAATGATACATACAGGGAAAGTTGCAATAATGGCTCTCTCCCTTTTGCTTCCCCATGAAGCTTTCATTCTGCTGCCACTGCTTGTTAGCTGCTATTCAAGCTGATCCAGGTCTGGGAGCTGGGGCCATTTAGAGAACTAGTGGTTATACAAGGATAGCTCAGACTATAAGAAGCAAAGTCTCCTACTGGGCAAAGCCGGATGGTCCTGGAAGCCAGGAATTAATCTGCTCTCAACTGTAGAAAGCAAGGAAGATGACCTTGATGAAAATCTAGACAACAGGTGCTGAAATACTTTTTAAGCCCCAAGAAACAAGGTAACATTCAGAAGTGGCTCAGGCAGACATCTCCCTAGTTTACTGATGTACAAGATGGGTGAATATGTATAGCGTAATCAAATTTGCAAGATATGCAGGTTTGAAATACAGCTAATCTCCACAAAAGTAGCTTTAGCCTTCCTGTGGAGTTAGTCTGGTCTACTTAATAGAGGTGACAATACTAGCCAGTTTGGCCAAGTGGTTAAAGTACCAGGCTAGAAAGAGAGAGACCATGAGTTCTAGTCCCACCTTAGACATGAAAACCAGCTGGGTAATTTAGGCCAGTCATTCTCCTTCAGACCAACACACCAGATAGGGTTGTTGTGGGAAAAATAGGAGAAAGGTATGTTGGATATGATTGACATCTTGATTTATTTGTAAAATAATAAAGGCAGGATACAAATAAATAAATAAAATATTGTAATGCCTTAAAGCAACCATTGGATGCAGGGTAAATTCCACCATGTAGTGACATCTGATTACGTATTGACAGAATGTTTGGGTGAAGTCCATGCGATTGTATTCATGGCAAAGCCTATGTCAGGATAAAACAGAAACTTTAATTTCAGTATATTTAAGGGCAACTTAGGGCTGCCTCAGTTACAGGTTTGGGCCAAATAATAGTAATTATCATAAGGACACAATAATAAGAGGTTGCCAAGACATGTTTTGATGTAACAAGATAAAATGAGAAAAGTTCTAATACCAGGACGTTTTAAACCTACATCCCTGGGAACAACTGGGTTGGGAATAACTTGGATGAATACTACTGTCATTGCTCAGTCACAAAAATCCAAAGAAATATTAGATGTCAGTATGAAATTTTTCTGATTTTTTTTCCTTCCACTCAGTGGATGTCCAAATTTGGGAACTTCAGGTCCAGGGGCCTATCTGGAGGCATCCATAGGGTGGAAGTGAGAAAAGTCAAGAGGGCTTTTTGACAATACAACTGAAGTGGTGCTACCTTTTTACATACATGCAATTCACGTAAATGTACATAGAGGCAGGGTTTTGATCATAGAGTTGTAACTGTCTTGATTTTTGACACAGTCTCTCCCCAGAAGAGGACCCTGCCTCTATGATATGACTTATTATAGCATACAGGTAATCCTCGATTTATAATAATTTGTTTAGTGGCCATTCAGTTACAACAGTACTGGAAAAAATGTTTTTCACATTTACAACCATTGCAGTATCCCCATGGTCATGTGAGCAAAATTCAGACACTTGTCAACTGGATGACACTTACAGTGTCCTAGGATCATGTGTTCAGCTTCTGTGACCTTCTGACAAGCATTTATTAGCATATGGCATTCTGACAAGTCAAGTCAATGGGAAAGCAAAATTCATAAACAACCATTTTATTAACTGCAGTGATTCACTTAACTCTGGCAAGAAAGGTCATTAAATGGGACAAAACATACTTAACAAATGTCTCACTTAGCAATAGAAATTTTGGACTCAATTATGGTCATAAGTTGAGGACTAACTGTAGTATGTTTTGTGAGCACAAAAGCTGTGCTTTTGTTCAAACTATCTTGCAGGATTGTTGTGATCACAGAATAGCTGGTGGGGCTATTTTTTGAGAGAGAAGGAAAATGTAGGTTGGACTACTATCTCTAGATTACACAAAAATCCAGATGTTTGCTTTATCTCTTTAGTATCATCTAAATTATGATCAAGTAGAATAGTAGATGTTTGCAACCATCTACAGAAGCCCTGCTTTAATAATGTTAGAAATTCTAGTTACTGTAGCTGCCACATTGCAAAAAGATCATACGAAAGATCATTCTTGCAAGTTCACATTAATCATGTCAATCTGACTTAAAACATTATAAGAATATTGTTGTAAAATATTTTCCTGTATTGACTGAATTATATGCTATTAAGTCAGTTTTAATCTCCATAGAGCGTCCCAAGGAAAACCACTGCCTGCATAATTCTGATATTTGTAGGTACAGACACATCTCTGCATCTAACTATTCTAAAGTGTTTAAGTTGATGTCAATTCTTATAAGGTGACCAACCGTCCTCCTTTAGGGAGGACAGTCCTCCTTTTGTAAGTTCTGTCCTCCCTCAAAAAGTGTCCTCTTTCATGTCCTCCTTTTCGATATTTGAAGACTAATCTGCAGGGCTTTTTCCCCCCTCATAGAACGCTCAGAACGGTGTTCCGGCACCTTTTTTGATGTTTTTTTTTTCCAGCTTTTGCATGAGCTGTGCTACTCCCACTACTGGCTTTCGAAAGCCAATAGGAATTGCTGCTGAGCGCGCCAAAACACCCGGATGGCAAACTTTGCACATGCAAGTTGTCTGTATTATTTTTGCAATGAATAAAATGTTTCTTTTATTTACGATATTTTTTTCTTCAATTTATTTGTGTCCTCCTTTTCATTGTAAAAAAGTTGGTCACCTTAATTCTTAGTCACCATGTACATTTTCTTCATGATGATCTACTGCTGACTTAGTCCTTCTGTAAAAAGGCAGATACTATTTATCACTTCAGCATCTTTGTTATCAATTAACTGAGTTGGAAAGGACCTTGGAGATCTTCCAGTCCAACACCCTGTTCAAACAGGAGACCCTATCCCATTCCAGACAAATGGCTGTCCAATATCTTCTTGAAAATGGAGCACCCACAATTTCTGGAAGCAAATTAATTAGAATTAAATTCTAATGTGCTGCATTACAAGAATTTTTTCCTTCACCCAAGAGATCACAAAACACAAGGATCTCTTTCTCAGGTGAGAAACATTGCTCTCTGGAAAATGCACGTTTCTCACCTGAGGCAACCTTCTCTCTGATCACATCCTCCCTCAAACTACAACTCCCATGGTGCTTTTCATGGCTGCGTCACCCTGGAGAAGCCCCGGCCGTTGTGTGCAGTTTTGGCGCCTGTGCGCAATTCCCTCTCTTTTTCCTTGGCTAAGAAGGCGTGGCTTTAAAAGAGGCAGGGGCGGGAGGAAAGAGGAGGGTCTTGGCGGGGCAAGAGGATCCCCGAGAGGCAAAGAGGCGCATGCGTATATCTCTTGGGTGCAGCCGTCACTGCTACTACTGCTGCCGCCTTCTCCGTCGCCGCTGCCGTAAGAGCAGTAGCGGCGCGAGCGTGAAGGGGAAAAGAGGCGAGTTGTCTCGCGCTCTGGGAAGCAAAGCAGTTGAACCGCCTGCCTCGCACGCGACCCCGCTTCGGCCGGCCGGCCGACCAATCAACCAACCAATCGCCTGCCCTCTGGCTTTTTTTTTTTTTTGGTTTTGTTTCTGTGTTTCTCTCTCTCTCTCCTCTTCAGTTTCTCTCTCTCTAGCCTCGGTCGGGAGCAGAACAAAAATATTTAAACCCCCTAGCCTCTGAAAAATCCCGTAAAGATGGTCGACCGCGAGCAGCTGGTGCAGAAAGCCCGGCTGGCAGAGCAAGCCGAGAGATACGACGACATGGCGGCTGCCATGAAGAACGTAAGTCGCCCTTTTCTGCCCTCCGTAGTGGCAATAAAAGGGCCCTCCCATCGCTTATTTTTGAAGGAAAATTATCCTTGGGGGCTTTTGTCTGGAGGTTTTTCTTTGAAGTAGGAGGGAAAATAATTTCCACTTTTCTTACATAAGGAGAAATAATTTTAAAAATTGGCAGCAGGTTTTCCCTATCCCTTTCATTTGTATGAGGAAACTAGGCTGACGCTCTGATGAAATAAATGTTAAAGAAGGGGAAATAATTACAGTATGCAGAAAGCAAATAACAGACAGTTATTTTGCTCTTCCTTGGACCCATTAATAACTTGGGTAGTTTTTTTGTGGTTTTTTTGCGGGAAATAGTTTTTTTTAATGAGGATGGGGAGAAAATACACTATTCAAACGAAAGGAAAGTTTGACGAGAAAAGCTTTGCATTTTATCACCTGTCTTCTCTCCAAAAGGAATAGGAAAAAACAGTTCTTCAGAATGGTGTTAATATACAGTATTCCTTCACTCTAATTTATGAATGTGTTTCACTTTGAAGCCCACTTGCTATAGTGGCTGTAGAAAATGTCCTCGTGATGAATCATCGTTTTTTTGGGAGGGCGGAAGGGGGATTGACAGTTATTTGGAAGAAATGTATGACAGGGATACAATATAAGATTTTCTACACAACTTTCTATGCAGTCTTTGTGTGTGTATGTATACACACACATTCTTGTCCCATACAGAAAATACTTTGGAGCTGAGGTACTGTAATTTCTTATCTCAGTTTTAAATAATGGAAATGGCTTCAAAGAGCAAAGACTGCTTTCTTCTGACTGACTCTGCCACGCCTAGAGAAAAAGAGCTCCTTTCTTTCTGCACGTGTCTAAAGGAAATTATTCTACCTTGGGTCAGATCTCATTAACATCCTCATTGCATCTAAATGTCTTCTGGTGCATGCAACCTTACTTTCTCCTGAATGTGTGTTTTGTGTGTCTTTATAAAGTACTTGAAATAGCACATTACCAATACCAGTACTGGTTAAATGAGGAATCTTATTTCTTACAAACTTCCAGAGCGAATGCCCCACCCTGCTTAAGAGTGGGAAGGAGAGAACCATGTTCCTTTCTGTGCTGGAGAGAGAACATACCTTGAACTGAAATTTCCCATTTCTGTTTTTATGCAAAGAAGGGATTTTTTTTCTTTTTTAGAGGGAATACCTCTCCCAAATATTGTCTCCTCCATACTGAGAAATATCTCTTCCCTTTAAGAAAAAAATGGAGTACTCTGCCTTTACTGTAGTCATATTATGCAATGCAATCTTTGGCATTTCAAAGGCTCATTACTCCATTTTAGAGAAATGTGATCTTTTTTGAAATAATTAAATAGTATTTGGTTCCTCTAAACAAGCATTTTCAAACGCTGTTCTGAATTTAAGTTAATTTTTTTTTCCTTGTTCCATAAAGTTGTTGGTGTGTTACAGGCAGCAATTGCTGTGAACCTTCATGTTTTAACAGAGTTACATTATAATGTTACTTGTAATCTCCTTCCTCTACAATTTTTGCTTGTTCCTGGGTATACTGATGAAACTGTTCTGTTTTGCCTCATCATTGGGCCTAGTTAAAGTAGTGTCTTTTCTGCATTTAGAGGAAAAGAGAAGGGGAGGGAATTTTCTGCTACTTATGTTTCAGTACTTTGAGGATAAACTATACTGCTTGCCCCTCCCTATGTATCACTATATTGCAGAAATATGAGTAATGTTTTCTTGAGAGGACATAACTAGTGGCATAGATGTTCTGTCTTTCCCCCCCCTTTTGCTCCCCCTCTTCTAGTGCTTGGGCGGTGCCACTCCCTAGTAGTCTTTCCCAGTAATTCAGCTAGTATACCCACCCCCGAACTCCCACAAGCAGCCCCACCCACAATTGGCAACCAACTCATCCCTTAATCTGCTTCATGATAGACAGTGAGCTAAGATTATGATTTTGATCAGTAAAACTACATTCTTATCTCTTTAAATACCTCTGTTTTCTATCCAGCACTCTTTGGGAGGGGGATTTGGAGAATATAGGGAGAATTGCCAATTGAAAATTATCTTTGTACATTAATTAATACTTAATTTCTTTCTTGGGATATTTTTTAATCCATTACAGTGCATCCTTTTCTTAACCTTCTGATGAGAGTTCTTTTCTTTTGTGGTATAATCTTCATCTTTATATAGGCTGTCTTTTCAGAATTGTTTATTTGAAGATTTGTTCAGAATTAAGCTAAAATGGATTAATGTTGGTACAGTTAATGGGTCATTGTGGAACAGCTCTTAAATAGTATAAACTGGAGTTTATTTCATTTTTTTACAATCTAATAAATAAAAAAGAAATTTTTGATCTGATCTTGCAAACAAAGCAATCGTGGGAGGCAGTATCAAGTCATTCCAGAAGATTCTGCATTTGTCATATTGCAGAGAGGCTAGACTGGGTGGAGAGAGGGAGGGAGGGGTTGCTTTAAAGGGGAGAACAGTTCTTTATATTTGCCTTGTTAGTAAGGTCTGAGCCTTTAAGAGAAGCCAGCATGGCCTCTCACTGATGAATAGCGAATACTGATCTAGACTGGAATTGTCGCAGTCTGCCTAGGATGCTGCTCTTTTATCTTATTGCACCATTTTGTCCTAACCTTGTGTTTGTCAAGGAAATGGAACTGCCAGAGCTTTTCTCAGAACAGAGGAAGATTCAGCTAGCAATATAAATGAGATGAGATCCATATGTGGCATAGCGGTTCTCTGTTAATATTGGGCAGCCCATTTCTGCAATGTGGCTTGATGCCAATCAGTGCATACAGACTAATCTCGCTTAGAGCAGCTGAATGCAAATCTTCAATCCTGGGTTTTACAACATATGCATTATATTTTCTGATTTGATGCCAGATTTCTCCAGTAGCTTTCAAATTTCTTTTGTGTTTCCTATGATTTCTTTTAAGTATTGGAACAATTTTGTATGACGTCTACTTGGTGTAAAATAATGGAAATATAATCTCTTACACGCAGTATCTCACTGTTACAGAATTTCTTCAACAGTTAGCATCTAAATCTTTGAAAGTCCTGCTTGTTGCCCTCTATTAAGGCTAAGACAAAAAATTAAGCTATTACAGAAATGATACTATAGACCTAAAGCCATATCTCATATCACCCTATCCCATTCCAGCTGTGTGCAAGACTTATGACCTCTCACTGATTTCCCATTGTAAGGCAATGATGTCACATAACAATAGAGGCTGCAGTGCACCCAGGTGGTGACTGACTGCACATAGAGCATTTTGTCTCAGATAATGTAGAAATAGAATTACAATTAAAATGGTATCTACAACTAAATACAGTGTTCTAAACTGCATCCTAAATGCCACTTGTGATTTATCTCTTAACCTAATAAACTTAGGTACCTGTAGTAGAGTACATTGAAGACTGTCTAAAGAGAAACTTGGCAGTGGAGACATACTAACATCATTAAACTATTAAGTGTAAAAACGATCTGCTACATCAGATCAATGGCTAGCGTTCTGGTTCTCATGATGGATAGCAAGACTAAGCAGGATATGAAGACAATAGTGCATTCTTCTCTTTCAAAGCATGTGGCATTCAGAGGTATACTGCCTCTAATTTTAGAGATAAAATATAACAGCTGTGGTGTAAAATTTTAAAACCATTGTGTTGTGCATCAGTATTCCTTTGCTGATTGTTCTTAATGTAGTATGCACATAAGAGCAAATTGTCCTACAGAGCCATGCTGCATCTTCACTTGGGTGAATTTGAAGGCCATTTGTTAAAATAACTTGTTGAAATGAGAAGACTCCAGCAGGTAAAGTCCAACAAGATGTGCTGACAGCGTCTCTGAAATGAATGCTTCAACATGAAACTCTCATAGATCAACTTCATAGCTGTTACCCAATAGCTTACTGTAGGATGTCTACATCAGTAACCATTATTTATAACAAAGATGGAGCCCTCTTACAACCAGTTTTAAGATAAAAGTGCTTGCCAATTCTCAGTTCATAGGAACTGCATAGTGCCTGGATATTTTTATGCAACACCTTAGGACCCCTGACTTATTTACTTCATCTTTATTATTTTGAATTAATTCAGATTTCATGTAGAAGGACATGGTAAGTTAAATAGCATGATTTTATTTTTAGCATCTATCTGTAATTATTGGGCTTTCTGGAACTTGAAAATTATCTTAAATCAGCATTAAATGTTCTTAACAAAACTTAAATCACCTGATATGTGTTTAACAAGGCATTACACAGTTATCGTGAACATTTATGGAAAAGCTGCTAACAATTTTCTGTTTCTCTTCTTTAGAATGGGAAGTGCTTTGTAACCATTTTTGACTGTTTCTCTGTATCTAAGGGTCCAAAGCTTAATAGCATTAGGGCACAGTGTGATGTTACAGGTGACCTTTAATGTACTATTTACTGAAAAGGCTATCACTATACAAAGATAGATTAGAAATCTGCCCTTTGCAACTACAGTATTTCTGTTAGCTCAGGAACCAGTACACAGTAAATGGTAAGCTTTAACTGTTTGATTAGTATTTAGATATTGTCATAATGACAATTTTCATGGTGAGATAGCTTCTGAATTGAAAACAGTTAAATTTAATTAAAAGATATAGAGGAACTTGTGGATACCAGGAGCAAGAGATAATGTTCTTCCATCATTTTTACCTGACCCCAAATCCATCAGATAGTGTGTATGTGGGTGGCTCATTGGCTGTCTACTTGGCCAGATAATGTTTCCATATAAAAAAAGCAAATAGTGATGGACTTTGAGATTTAACTCCCAGATTGTCTATCACTGAGTTAATGCACAATAGATAATGTTAGAAGATGTAAACTCTGATGAAAAAGCACATTGCAAAATCAAATGGACTTTTATATGGCTTTTAAAAGGGCATTAGATTAATTACTGAGCTCTCTTTTTAAAAGCTAAGCAAGGGCACATAGCTGAGAGGTTTTGGATCTAAGGAATTAAACA